CAGCCTTCCTGTAGGTTCCCTTCAGGTACTGAAAGGCAGCTATTAGGGCGCCCCGAAGTCTTCTCTTTTCCAGGCTGAACAGAGACCATTTTGGCGCCGGATTGCAGCGCGCAACGCGAGTAAAGCTCACGGCGGCGGCAGGCCCAGGCGCAAGGCATTTCAGCGACGGGACTGCGACATTCTCACAACAACCGCGCAACAGCAACGCAGCGAGAGAGCGCGGAAAGCAGCGCCGTGGAACACCTCCGGGAGGGCCGCGGCCATCCCCGCGGCATTGGGGCGGCCAGGTCTCCGCAGCAGGAGTCCGGCCCGATCCTCGGGGAGCAGTGCGAGGATCCCGTCCGATGCCGGCCCGGTTCCCGTTCGCCCTGGCTCTTGCAGCGGTCACTGCGTGCGAGCAAACGCAGGTGTGACACTCCGTAGCAAATGTTTGACTGACGTTTTATTTAAACGTAAAAAGATGATCATCGCCGTCACTAGAAACATCCCCGCCTTCAATTCTCTTTCTCATCGTACAGTTTTCTTCTGTCCCACATCTGCTTGTATCTTTTTGACTTCCATTTTTGCTTACTTTTTACAGTCTCTTCACCTTTCTTTTTTTAGCTGTCATCCTTATTCCTAGAAAACTTTCCTTTTAGAGCATTCACCCTCTTATAGTCTCAGGCCCCACAAATGATAGCATCAGGGTGGCCAAAATTTCTGCACACAGAAGGCATGTAGAGAGAAAGGGAGTCTTTTTGTGCATAAAGCCCTCTTGCCAAAGGGAAGCTCTAAGCTTCTAAGCTCTGTCGGTACAAAGCCTAACAAAAAGAACCTGAGAGAATCTGAGACAGATGAAGTCTCTTACCCCTTCCAGCAGCAAGGAGGTAGATGCAGAAGTGCTTTTCATGTAGACTGAAAGGGGAAATTGTGTGGGAAAATCCTCATGAACTCCTTTTGTTGGCAGCCCTTTATGCAAAGCACTGGAGTGTTCTCATGGCTGCTGCTAGCAGGAGAACAAATCCTCAACGAAGATTAGATCAGCTGGATACACTGGTTAGGCTATACCTGGCTTGTAGAATGGGAGCTTGACACCCATGCTAATGGATTAATGCAGCATGCATTCCTTAGGTGGAAGAAAATCAGAATCTTGATGCAGCTAAGTGAAGTAGTAGTGATTAAAAAAAAATATATATATATCCCCAAAATCCCTAAGCTAGGCAGGTTTATCATTAAAAAGGAAAAGTATAAGTTAAACATGGCAAAAGTACATTGTGTCAAAAAGACATTTTTATGCTTCTCTTTATTCAGCTCTTTGCCCTGTAGTGTAAGGGCCATTTGTGCGTGAAAAGTCCTGTTGATCATCTTCATCCAAACCCAAAATGTCTGGGATATCATCTGACTCTGAAGACAGGTCTGTAATAGTGAAATCTGGAACCTGCGTAGGAATGAAATTTCAATCAATTTTAAAGTAAAACTAAATAAATCTGTGCAGTACTCCTCACTGAAGTCAGAAGACCAAGATACTCGGTATCTCTAGAAAACAAAACCAAAGTACTAAATACAAAGTGAAATATGCTCAGTCACATATGAAACGCAAAGCATTAAGACAGACCAAATACTATGCAAGACGTAGATCAGTTGCTTAGGAGACAGGATTTTATAGTAGAGATGGAACAGAGCTGGACTTAATGGAGTGTATTTAGTGAAACTGGTGACAGGAAAATTAAGAAAGGACATTTTCAAACTTATTTTGCCTTTTTTCTTTCCTTGGGAGCAACAGGCTATACAAAGGAACCTGCCCTGAGGAGCCTGTTACGGATTGCTCTGTACTGCTCTGTGTGCCTATCACATCAAACCTTTCCCGAGGAGACAAATATCTGGAACTGCAATCCCACTTTGGCTTCTGTTTTAACTGCATGTGTAGTATTTTGTACTGTTAAGCAGCACCAGGTTTCAGGAATTGCCAAAGACATTAGTGGATATGTGGATGTTACACACTTCTAAAAATGTTGGCTAAGACACTGAGGAGCTTAAGTCCCAACCCTTAAGTCCCCTTATTAGGACTTAGATTACTTAGGCACTTCTGAAAAATGGGATATAATTAAGCAGTAACTCATACCAAAAGTTTTTTGCCCTAAGTGAGAAATAACTCTAGTTTGATTCACGGTTAGCTTTGATGTCGGTGATGTGATATACTTGGAGCCAGGCACATTATCGGCACATGACGATTGCTGCACGCTAACAGGACTTTGGTTCTGCACGTACAAAGCAGCAGCAACTTGAAGAGGCTTGTAGGCATTTGAGTAACTAAAGCTCAGTGCTCACTGCAGAAGCAGTCTTAGTCCATTCCCTAACTGCAGAACACCTTGCTTATGACTTTTATGAATAAAAGATAGTATGCGAGACAAATCTGTGCGTTGCCTGCGATGAAGACATGTCGGAAGAACAGAGAACACATCAAAGGATAAAGGGATTACTGTTTCAGCTATCAGGTTGTAGATAGCACTGAACGTGAATCACTCAGTTCCTTAGAGAGCGGGTAGCCACAGGGCACCAGGGATTTATCAATATTAACTAAAACTGAGCTTCAGAAGAACTTAAGCAGCATGTCACTTATCAGTTGCTAGTGTGAATACAATGAAATGTGTAGAGAGCACTTGGAAAACCTAAGCTTGATCAAAATGAGACCAGTAATCTTTGTCTCCTAAAAAATCAAAAGGCACTAGGAAGGTAGTTCTAGGAAGTAGGAAGTTCTTCTACCAGCAAGAACTGTCTTGCATCTTTCTGCTTATGGCGGTTTACCTAAAACTTTAACTACTGCACTTAAGGGAAATGAGTAAGTTTTCCCATCATCAGCACATGACTGTCTACTGCATGCTGCAGTACAAATGGGGATATCTTAGGCCAAGCAGCCCATGTGCAAACTAGTTTAAAGATGTGCCCAAGCAGATGGTTTACACAACTTGTTTTGTTTGGTATTTACACTGAGCACAGCACATGACCATGTTCAGTAACTTTGTCTGACCAGTGATAATTTTCACTATATCCTGGGTTTAAGACACTCTTATTACTTATATCTATGTTGTTCTCACTGACAACAGGATAATCACTGGAATTTAAGTTCGCGCTTTCTTCATCTCCTTAATGCACGCATTATAAGCAGTTGAATCCTTTAACATTCTAGTAAGATGCTCATAGTCATGAAAGAACTTCAAGTTAGACTGTATCTGTCAGCATCAGAGTAAGCCAGGGTTGGTGTCAGTATGCTTTATCTCAAGTTTGGAACATGCTAAATTGTGTTAGAACAGCATATTCTGACACCTGCAGCAGTCTGACTAAAACAGTGCAAAGCCCTTGGTGTTACGGGGTTGCTTAGGTGAAGGACTTTCAGTTCCATATCACTTTTCACAGTTGATAGGAAGTTAAAACAAAGCAGTAAGTCAATTCTTGCAACAAGGACTCTTCTTCGTCTCATTTCTCCAGAAGATGCAGTTAGATCATTTACACAGAATAGTGCAAAACTTGCAAAATCCTTGCATGGAATAGTGCAAACATACTTCAGTGTCTTGCTGTCTTCATATACAAATGTTAATGTCAATGCTAACTTTAAATAAATGCATCTTTTCTTGCTTAATATATTTTCAGAACTGAGCCACTAGCAATTCGAGAGATGGTTCTTATTTTGGGCACTTTCAGAACAAATATTTATTTTTAGTCATCAGAGACCGTATTATCCAAAATAAATAAAATTTCCATCCTAGTATGAAAAGAAATACATTTAACAAAACAGTGTGCACAATACCTCCAGCAAGCTGTTTTATGTAAGACTTTCTGATCATGCAAATGACCAACAGATTATGCTTAAAAATAAGTTAGGTTCTGTTTTCTTTTTTTAATTAGATGGCTTATCTAAGGTTTTGGGTGGTTTTCTGGTGGGTTTTGGTTGTCTGGGTTTGTTGTGGGTTTTTTTTAATAAAGAGAAATAATTCATCAGTTGTTTCTTTTAGCCCATTTTACTAGCTATATAGTATTACTGTAAGTTGCAGTTTGGAAAAGATTATTGCAAAAAAGTCATCTTAAGGAACGGGAAAGATTTCTAAAGCTTTCCACTTCTCTTTAGTTTGATGCAAACTAATTATATCCCTGCAACTCTAGTCCTTATACAAATCTTCCAATTGCATTTGACCGTGTACGCTGCTGTAAATATGCGTTTGTGAAACTTTTATGCTATATGGAGCTATTTAAAAATGTTTATATTTAAAACTTTTGTAGCAAAGGATTACCAGCACTGACAGAATAATAGTTCTCTGTTAAATGAGCCTGGGAACAGGAAGTTCCAACTTCCAATGTTTCAATATTTTAATGAATGATTTTTGAGTGATCCCTTAAAGAGGAACAATCACTTCCCGAATTCGAAATAAACCCTCAATAACCTTACCAGTGACAATTACTTCGTTAGAATTCTAACCTTTACCATCCCGGATTTTGCGTGACTAGCAGCCTTTGACACGGTTCCAGCTCCTCTAGTTTATCTGCCTTGCTGGAAGTAGGATCAACAATTTCTTATAATTTTGAACATATCTGGCCTTATCTTTTTAAAAAGGTTCCAGAGACACTTCACAGCTTTCAAGTCCAAGCTATATCCTCAGAAGTGTCTTCGGACTAAAGAGCAAGCAAGTTTCTGTGCAGTGTAGCTGAGCTGTTTGATACATGCAACCACAGAGAAACAGGCAGGAAAAATTCATGAGCAGCCTCTGCTCTGTTAATATCTTTGGTTTTCCCTCTTCTGTTTGAGAGTTTTCAGCAGTTATTAGCACACACTTCAGCTTCAGCCTACTGTGGCAAAAAAAAAAATCCAAAGACAGCTTTTGAAAGTGTCCATATCATTCTTGCCTTCAGCAGGCATTTTAATAGTCTATTTATGCTAAAGAAAACCACCAAGTTTGCTCTGTAGACTTGTAATTAGACTAGAATCTAGGGGTAAACTGTATTAGATTACCAGCAAGAAGATACCCATGCAAGCCACAGTTGCAAATCAGTTTAAACATCCAGTGCTGTCCTTATTAGGAAAGTCTAATAATTTCAATCCAGAGACCCTTATTTACTATAATAAACCAGGAACATACTGATTAGCTGTTATTCACCCCTCTTTTCCTCTAAAGAATGATTCCTAATTCTACTGGGGGGCGTGGATAGAAACTTAAGACACTTTCGGTGGCAGGCAGGAGCCAATGAAACAACCACGCACGACAGCATGATACAGGAACCTGTGTACTGTATGATCAGTCCAACCATCCAGTAAGTATTTAACCAGACATTCCTCTGTTTGTGGCCACTAGTGTAGGTCAGCTGCCAGAAGTCAAAGTAACTTTTACACAGAAGCCACCCAACAGTGCATGATGAGGGAGAAATGATTTGAAGGTCTAGGCTGGTAACATTTTTTCCTTGCTTTCTACTTCATCTGCTTTCTGACATTTAGTGAAAGCTGGACAGTCATCTAAAAGTACGAAACAGGAGTGCAACTTGCAGAACAGAGATATGTATTGCTCTTGCATTAAGTACGAAACAGGAGTGCAACTTACAGCAGAACAGAGATATGTATTGCTCTTGCATTAATACTAGATGGTGCTGTTTATTTCTCAGTCCTCACCACACAGTGAACAGTCTGAATACCTTATTTGATTGATCACCTCAGAATGAAGGTCCTCAGCCTGCAGATTCTAAAATACATGTAAGAATGTGAATTCCCCTCTTTGAACTGCCAGCTGTCGCATTCTGTTCCTGAGCACCTCTACAACTGTGGTTCTTTGAACTGCCAGCTGCTCGCAGATCTGATTAGTCCCATTCTGTTCCTGAGCACCTCTACAACTGTGGATGCACTCTACAAATTTTATTACAAACTGAGATGAAAAAGGGATATTCTCTGGTTGGACTTACTGAGTACTTAAACAGAATTAATTGCTGACAGAATCCTGCAAGTCCTAACTCAGGCCCTAGCTAGAAAGGAATATCTCACCATCTCATGTTATGTTAAACAGCCCCCTTACAAAAAAGTATTTTGAGCTGGAAGTTATGAAATCTTTATCTGTAATCCTCTGTTGTTACAATTTAATTTAATATTGTGGTTAAAACAGTCTTCCTAACCCTTTTAGACCAACCATGACTTAACAGCTAAGCCAGCCCTCCCATTAGAAAGCTGGACCACATGTACTTAGCTTCAGTGCCTGCACTGCATCAGGTGAAGGCACTGTCCCACACAGCAACACATCACTGGGTGACCAGCTTTCTTCCAACTCCAGTTTTGTTTCACACTATTTGGAGACCACTTCGAAAATGGTGGCCAGCATTGCTACACTAAGTGATTGCAACTCAGAAGTTGCACACAGGGCATGCACTAAGAACACAGGCACAACTTACCTTGACAGCTCTAAATCAAGAAAGCTTATTTCTTGGTGGCTGTAATTCTCTTCCAGGGGAGGGATTCACAGGATTTATTGAGGAACAATTTCACCCAAGTAGCTGAGTGCTAGTGTGCATTATTCACTCAAGTCCAAAAGAGGGTAAATAAAGTTAAATAGGTTTAAACTAGTGTTTTCCAATGAGGGTATATACTGTCTATAGGAAGCCAGCAGCCAAAGCAGGTAGCCGGCACACAGAAAACCTATTGCAAAGGCAAGACAGGTTGGGTTTTTTGTCCGCATCCTTCTCTTCTCAACATTAGAAGATCCATCAGCTTATGGCTTAGGTCACCATTAAAAGCAGGCAACAGCAAGCACCAAAAAAGCAGCAGTAAAGCTAAGACTGAGTGGAAAAACACAAAGGAACTCAAGGGAGGAAGGAAATGCTGCAGCAATATCTTACCTATCTATACATACACACAAATACATTTGCAATGCATGTCTACTTCATTTGCGTTTCAAGCTTTCCCAAGCTTGCTTTCTGCTGGACCCAGTCTGAAGGAGTCACAGAATAGCAAGTTACATTTGTTTTAAACACCACTGAAATCGAGACAGACTTTGGCTACTGAAGCATTTATTACTAACATACAAAATGAATTACAAAAAGACGACTACAAAAAACCCAACAACCCACACGACAGCAGGCACCTGGGTACAAACAGCATGAATCTTGTCTTTATAGTGCATATTAAAAAAACTGTATTGATAATGATTTGGTCAGTCACTCGAACAGGATCCCCAGGGAAGTGGTCATGGCACCAAGCCTGTCAGAGTTCAAGGAGCATCTGGACAACACTTTTAGTCATATGGTTTAGTTTTACGTAGCCCTGCAAGGAGCAGGGACTTGGACTCGATGATCCTTATGGGTCCCTTCCAACTTGAGATATTCTGTGGTTCTGTGGTCAGGTTTACTGTGTTATACAATAGTTAGTTGATAATGTTAGCACTATCACAGCATTTAAGTAACTCCAGCTGACTCATTCAGAAACCCCACTTTCAGCTTTGAAATTCTGCACTCACAGAACTTTTACCACAAATTGCGTAGCAGTAGAATTTTAATCAATCAGATCCACAGTAATCAAACGTATAATCTGCAGCAAACATGGAATTTAAGCATATCTAGCTAGACTACAGGGCTTTTAAAGGCATTTCATAGTGTGCAAGGCTTTTATATCATTCTGCCACAGATTAAGCAACAAATCAAATGCTTTTAGCTATGGTAGGTTTCATTTAGACTAATGGTATTAATACCATTAATAGGCATGGTGAGGTTTCTTAACTTGACAGACAAACAAGGCATTTTGACAACTGTAAGCTGCCAATATTCAGGCATTCAAGCCAGTTTTAGTTTTCAGAGTGGCTTAACTACACAGGACAATACAGCCCATGTGTGACAGTGTCTTTTCTCTGTATCATTCCCCTACTCCTATGTTTACGAATTTTCCTCCAAGGCTTTTTTGACAGCTACATTTGTTAAGGCCACTTGTTTGGTCAGTCAGCAGAGTACATACATGCTATGCAGTTTATTCAGTAGCGTGTTCAGGCTGTTTGTCTTTCTGACTGGAATTTTTCTCTCCTTCACCTTCGCTCTCAGCATGCTGAATGCCAGGCAGTTGTGGGTAAAAAGGACCTACCAGCCAGTTGAGTGGTGTGTTGTTAACAAGATAATCCATCACGTCATCCAGAGACTCCTTCATTTTCTTCAGTTGTCCTTTGCTAGTCATAAGAAAGCTGTCTGACAATTCTTGGAAGGAGGATGCTGACCAAAATCTCTGGTAGACCTCACCTGCCATTGAGCCAACACTGTAAACCTGATCCTGCACATTCTGTGGCAGCCCCTGTAGGCTTGAGACCAGTGTGAGGCAGGTGGTCTGAAGCTGCTGAGTGAGGCTCCGTGCAATAGTTAGAGTTCTTGACTCAATGTGCTGGAAACAAAAAGCATAACAGCACATTAGCATCTTTTTCTGACTGCAGCAGCTTTATGTTCATGAAGATATACAACGAAGCAAAGTAAAGGGGATGTAAGTAAAACAAAGCCATGGCAGATGATAAAACAGGTCTTAAGTCTGAAGAGTCAGAGACTTAAAGTACTTGATATTTCTTCAGTGCTCAAGTACTTTGTGGAACAGAAACATTGGTAGCTTCTACCCAGCGACAGATAAGCAAGCTCTTGTTTCAACTCTGGATAAGAAGTCACAGCAGGTAAGTATATTCTAACCAATGAATTACTGTTTAAAGCTACATGTAAGACTTGGTGAGTCTGGGCCTAAGACTGCTCTGTGCTAAGAAATTTTTATTTCTGTTCTGGCCATATCAGATAAGTGAGTTCTAGCTGATATAGACAATGGATATCCCAACACAGCTTCACCTGCTAAACAGGATGAGCACTAGGGAAAGGAGAACGAACCCCAGAGCGTTTGCAGGAAGTAGGCTCATTTAAGAGCTGGGCATCCTCTAATTTTCATAGTAGTCACTAGTCAGCTGCCCTGATTCCACATTTGCACATAAGCTTCTGTGCTGTTAAGCTGCTGTGCACTTTGAGGACTGTTAGTTTGCCAGTACCTTGACAATACACCATCCACTTATTTCTGGTTTACATTTACATCTATTTACCTCAGTGCTATGCAGTTCGTCACCATCATTTTGGCCTGTATTTTTCTTCCATTCTACCCAGGATTGATAAAGCTTTTCCTGAGCATCAAGAAGTTTCTGATTGGCACTATTCATGTTCTTTCTGGCATACTCGATCTGAAATACAGCCAAATAAGGGAGTAAAGCAAAGAGTCCAAACAGTTCCATTAGGGCTACCCTACCTTACCTGCCTTGTAACCTCCTTTTAAAACACTTCAAAAGTTCAGTATAAAAGACTTTAGGGAATATAAGCATGTGTTCCTTCTCTTCAAAGGGAAAACTGGAAGTCGTTTTGAGATGTTACGTAGTGTATTCCTCTGACTCAACTATTTCCCCCTCCCCCACTAGCATCCTACACAAGGATTTGAAAGTATATAGAAGGCCATGCCTCTTTATGCACAGTTTGTCCTGTACATAAAGGTTCATTGTTAGGATAAGACCACTGAAGTACCGAGGAATGCTCAGAGACACCCACAGCATGAAGAACAAGCCCATAAAGAATCTGACATTTTCTTAACAAAAAGAACTTAAAGGACTGAAGTGTTTCTGAATCGCAAGACACTTTCTTCACTGAAGGAAGTCCATGTCAAACCCAGCACTCCAAAACAGGAATATCATTTTGAACATGTCACTTCCATTTCTGCAGTGCTTAAAATTACAAGCAATTGCTGGTTAGTTCACAGCACAGTCTGATTTAGGATCTCTCCTGAATGGTGGTGAAAAGCTCTCTATGGGAAATGCTTGATATTCAGAAAACACATTTAGTCTGCGAGAGCAATTCCAGTTTTCCTATGCCTCTTTCAGCTGTTTTCTGCACTCGGTGCCAACGTTTGCTCTTTATACCTCAAGCAAAAGCTTAAACTTACCAGACTAACAGTGTGGTGGAGCTGAGAGATTGTCTCCTGGCTTTTCTGTTTAGCATCTCTGACTTTGTTTAAGGCTTGTTGGTAGGCACGTGTGCGGACTTTTGAAGACAGGGATCCTAGTCTAACATAGTAGCTTGGCTTTTGAATTCCAACTTCGAAACCTTCCACTTTTGCAGCTTCTTTCTCTAGATATGTAGGAAGGAAGTAAATTGACCACTGGAAGAAAACTTAAGAACTCTAAGGCAATTTTATTTGCTTAGTAACAGCTAAATATTGGGCTTGGTCAGTAGGCCTTTAGCACCAGGGTAGGCTGACAGACCACCACGTGTGGAAATTCCTACTTTCACTCTGCTTCATTGTGAAGATGCTAATACAACCAGTAAGGCAAAAGGCAGTTTGGAAAGCCTGTGCCCCCTCACCAGTATAAGTAAGTTATAAACAAATGATTGCTTGCTTCTCTCCAATACAAGCATTCCAAACAAAATCAAACCTTGAATTGGTCTTACCTAGTTCTGCTTCTGTAAGTGGGAGATACTGGTCTACAAGGGTCTCCGATTTAGTGAGAGCACTGTCCACTCCACTGCTCATCATCTGCACCACACGACTTCCCAGGACAGTGTTAATGCCACCATTGACGACTGACTTGGTCATTTCTACACTGTCTTGCACTGCTTCTTTAGTCTTGCCCACAACTCCAGTGATCGTGTGAGCAACAGTTTCCTTGGCACCAGTCACAGTTGTTGTTACGGCTTCTCTGGCTCCAACAACTACATCCTTGGCATTGGCAACAACCTGACACAGGAAACAGGTTGATTCACAAGAAATATTTTCTAGAGAGAGCTACATAATCCAGGAAATATAAATTTAGGCTAAAGCTTGTACAAGCATTGGTTATCTAGGAGTAATTCTGCCCTGAAAACACATGTACAAGACAAAACAAGATATGACACTGCCACACAGCCTTCAGCTCAGTAAAATACTTCAGTGTATGCAATTCAGGTGCTGTATTTGCTTCACACTGAGCAGGAAAGAGACAAGAACTCAATTTTTTTTAAAAAGGTGCCCACCAGTGAACAGCAGCTATAGATAGATGTGTCAAATGGTGAGCAAATATTAAAAAAAAGCAATGAACAATTCTGCAGAAAGAGCTTTTATTTCCTTATTGCTTCTAAGCTGTGCTTCAGGCATGGCTTACTGAAATCTGTCTCCCTGCATTTTTAGGGATAATAGTAAGGAAGGTGTATAGTTCTTCCACTTAGCATAGGTACAGGGAAAGAACTTACCTTGTCAGTGGGTTGATTCAGTATAGGCAGTCTCTCTTCAATTTTGTCTAGACCTATACACGCATAGTTGTTGGCAACTACAACTATAAAAGAAATTACAATAGTTGGCTTTAATTTTTTGTTTTCTGCTTCGTATAAATAACTCTAATTGAGAACTCTTCTTGAAACAGAGCTCATGCAACAATGCTCCTAAAGTAGTTTCCTCCCCTTTTGAGTGAGACTCAAGGCAGTAAAGCCCAAGAACAAGGCAGGTTTACAGCGCCAGAAAAAAGCTCACTTGCAGGCAGAGAAAATCCATTTGATACTTTACAAGCAACTGTTAGAACAAGCTGAAGCACCTGGCCTCCTGCCACTTCGTGAAACCAGGCTCCTGGTTACAACAGCCTTGTGACTCAGTTGCCAAATTTAACCACAAGTTGTTCCCAGTGGGAGAACGCACAAAGTAGCATTTGAAACCAGGTGTTGCGCAAGAGACTGTAACTATCCCGCATATCAAGAGGAGTCAACCGGTCTAGTATTACAAAATCTGCAATCTGCTTTGGATTATTAATTCTTTGTTGTTAAATCATACTCATCTGTAATCAGTTACCCAACAAGCCAGGCAACAGGTCCAGTGAGCTACCTGAAAGAGCACTCCAGACCAGCAAGACCATGCTAAGCTGTAAGTGCATCTGCATATACAAAGCAATCAGTTGAATTACAGTTATCAATAGCTCCATCTTTTCCTTACTTTGTGGTTCCAGTTTCTGGATGATAGGCATAGCGCTTGTCATGGCTACCGAAGTAATCGTCTTCACTCCTTTCTCTGCTATCTCACATACTGACTTCAGGTAAGGATGGTTATCCTTTGTGGTGATGTAAGCTGTGGAGACCATGTCATAGGTGGAGCTCACCAAGGGAAGGTTGACAACCCTTGATACAATGTTCTGTTTAAAAGAGAAAAAGGTTTACTTGACTGCTATTTTTCCAAATTAGACATAAACTACAGGGTTAATTCAGACTTACCTGCTGCGGATCAATTGCTGCCAACGCCATTTTTTCAAGTCTTAAATCTTACACAGCCTGTGAAAGAAGCATATCTGAGTTACAGCATCCTCATATCTACTTCATCTAATCACCAGATTTTGAAACTAACAGCCCTTTTGTAATTAACCTCATTGATCAAGGGGATTAGGACACTCACATTCTTGCATATGGGAATTACATTTTATCGAAACAATTTAGAAATCCAAGACCTTGTTTCCTCATTACTTTGGTTTAGGCAACACAAGTTGGGCACGTGCAAAAGACAGGCTTTAAGTTACAGCAGTTCATTGCAGAATCACCGAAGAGTTACTGACTAGGGGATTGATTTATTTTTCTAGAAGAAATAGACACACTCAGGCTTATCTGTTGAGCCAGGACAAAGAAACACCAGCCAACAAGTCACTAAAACTCTAGTTTAGGATGACTAACTCAGATGAAGAATCCACCACCAATATCTTTAATCAGATTAGATCCTCTGTTAGCGTAAGGGGGTCAAGTTTGACATTCAAGTCATCATCGGTGTCCAAAACTTGACAATACATGGAAGATTGAGGTGAAGTACTCTTTCCAGTAACCTCAGCTCAATTTTCACAAGTCATCCCACTAAACTGAAGGAGTTAGTTATCTCTAGTGCCATGCATGATGCCCACATAGGGCTCCCCTGCTCACTTTGCTCAGAAGTTAGCACTCCTTTAAAAAACAGAGCATAGGACTTCCCCGCTGCAGAAAACAACTCTCCTTTATGCTCATTTAGACTTAATTATTACCCATCCCACACTGATACAGGCTGCAGACACCAGTTATTCAACAAGCCTACGCTACTCAATTACTTTCCAACATGTATTCCCATGGAGAAAATACTAACAGCTGTCCCCACAGGAACCCTGTAAAAGGAGAGGGTTATTGCAGTACCACACTAGGAGAACACACAGAAGTGCACTGTCATCCTGTGCACGCATGCAGACTGAACTGAATCTGCAAGAAGCGCTTTTTGCACTGATGGATTCCTATGACACTCAAGTTCCAGAAGAACCTGCACACATGAAGGCAACAGAAAGGCAAGCTAAAAGTCGGTCCTCAAAAGGACTGCAGTTTTCAAGTCTTTCTGCTAGGTTTGTCAAATAGCCAAGAGCAGCTTTCTTCCTCATACGTACGATGATACTAAGAGGAGCTTGTGAATACTCTGCCTGGAGTCAAATGAAACTTCTCCCCGTTACATAATGGGGAACAAGGACAGAGGCACACTGTTAACATTTTACAGGCATATTTGCACATATTAACACACATGCCATAAGGTGACGCCTGTAATGAGATTAACTACCGTACGCAGACCACACAAGCATGTAACGGACAAGGGTTACAGCAGTAACAGAGAAGTTTTTCTTTTATCAAGTATCTAAATACCTCCAGTACCATGTTATGTTTCTCACACAGCATGACAAGTCAGATTTCTCGGAGTACAACTGAAGCTCACTTTGAACTGCAAAGCATGCTGCAGAACAGGAGAAGCTAACAGCGCAGCCACACACGGCATGGATTTGGATTTTAATCCCTAAAATAGGAAAGTCAGTCTATGAAGTGATTCCTGCTCTTGAAGGCAGGGAAGATAACTAGGATCTTGCACAGCTTTGCAGATCCCTGGAATAGTTTCAGCTCTGGCAAAAGTCAGACCCACTTCACTGGAGCGAGTGACCGAGATGCCTGAACCAAAGCCCACGGTACAAAAGCGTGTTTCGGAGACGGTAAAAGATCCCGAACGGGCGAGTTAATAAAGTCAGCCACAAATTTAATTTCTTCTTTCCTCCCTCGGTACGAAAACAAGCCAGAGACTAGAAGGCAGCACGATGCGGCACGCAGAAGGGCCAAGGAGCTTGCTCCGGCCAACCGCGGTGCCCAAGGGCGGAAGGCGCCGCTGTTTCCAGGTGTCACCACGCGCCTCTCCAGGGATGGGGCAGCCCAATCCCTCCGCCGCGGCGGACCTCCCGCTCCCGGGAGTGCCTTACGCAGCGTACCGAAACACGCCGGGATGGGAGGCGCGGAGACCGCAGGGGCGATGGCGGAGGCAGCGGCCAGCC